TTTAGAAAAAATCGTAGGGTTTAAAAGATAAAAATATAAACGTAAAATACGCTTATTAGGTCTTAGTTCTTAAAGTATGCACTTTGGGGTCTAGATTTTCACGTTTATACAAACCTTGTAAGTGTCTGCAACATGTTGCCAAGTATCAATGATGTTCCGTTAGTAATTAAATAGTTACCTATAGGACAATTATGACAAATTTACCATGAATAGATCACTGTTTACAAAGCAGTCAAATATCATGACTTTCTAAATGAATTGCATGATAAAATATATGCCAATAATTAGTGTATTCATTCAACTATTCACATGCAAAATTTCACGTCATTAAATTCAGTAATTAAAGAAAAACAATTATAATACTGACGCAGCATCGAAAACCTACATAACCCGACCAAGTTCGGATGGCTACAAAAAAGCGGCTGTGCAATATATTTAGGTAACATCCCAAAATTTACAGTATAATACCGGTATTGAATTGGTACAGGTGATAACACACTTGTTTCGAAATAATTTATAGGTCATTTATTTTTGGAAACCTACTTTTTTAAATGTATTTGACTATGACAGAAAGTAGGTACTATTTACGTAGGTACTTTATTTAAGTATGCGCTTGAGACTTGAGATATAATCTAATTATATTTAAGACAAATAAAATTCATACAGCTAATTTCTATTGAAGATTTCAGGATTCTAACTATAGACCCCTTAGGGAAATTAAATATTTACCACATGTAAGTATGTACTACTGTTTAGGTAAATATTTATCATATTGTAGCTTATTACACTATTTAACCAATATTTTTATTACACTATTTAACCAATAGACTAGCATGCACGAGCGTGTGTACGATACTGTGTTTTATTTTTCCTAACGCTTGTGTACGATACTGTACCATATTAATAAATGCTATATTGGAAAGTTAAGAACGTTTCTTAGATATATGGCACGGCCGCTTTTTTGTAGCCATCCGAACTTGGTCGGGTTATGTAGGTTTTCGATGCTTCGTCAGTATTATAATTGTTTTTCTTTAATTACTGAATTTAATGACATGAAATTTTGCATGTGAATAGTTGAATGAATACACTAATTATTGGCATATATTTTATCATGCAATTCATTTAGAAAGTCGTGATATTTGACTGCTTTGTAAACAGTGATCTATTCATGGTAAATTTGTCCTAATTGTCCTATAACTATTTAATTACTAACGGAACATCATTGATACTTGGCAACATGTTGCAGACACTTACAAAGTTTATATAAACGTGAAAATCTAGACCCCAAAGTGCATACCTTAAGAACTAAGACCTAATAAGCGTATTTTACGTTTATATTTTTATCTTTTAAAACCCTAACGATTTTTTCTAAATCTGTTTTTTAAACAAATATAACAAATTCAAAACACCGTATGTAAAAATCTACAGCTCTCTATGTAAGCGCTTTATATGAAAACTAGCTAATGGCCAAACGTTCGCGTAGCGGAAACTTGAATTTCTCCGAAGTTTATGCATGCACAAGTTTTATTCATACATACACAATTACACACAAATACACACTAATTTTTGGATACATTTCCTTTCTTCTAAAGTCTATGGATTAAAAAAAGTTCCGCCAGGACAACGTTCGCCCAGCGGAATCAGTTTTTGGTGAATTTCTCCACAATGGTTGCGTGCACAAATTTTTTTTTACCATACACAATTATACGACGTCATACACTAAATATCTGCATAATTAAAATCTTTAAATTCAACAACATTCCGCTGCACGAACGCACGCTAGATTGACACCTTGAATTTGATATTTAATTTGACTTTGAACGAGGTTCAGTTCTAAGTACGGTCAAGGTAGCGTCGAAGATGCTAGGTGTGCCTAGATCGCAATATGTCAGGGCTTCGTCTGCTACTTTCAAGGAGCAGCTTCGGCCCCATATGAAATACCTACTGTACTCATCTCAACACTCTAGTACCAGCAACGAACCATCGTTGTGCGTTTTCTATCGCATATAGGTATTACGGGAGTGCTAAGAAGATTTATTTGTTTTGATCCCTATCGCATCTTTTCGACCACCCACGAAACTATAACTGTATCCTCATCATGTAGGTGGTTGGTAGACAACAATTGCGATATTTGCAAAACTTTCTGCCTGGCACGCACACACACACACACACAGCAAGACTGACGGAGAATGATCTTACAGCGACGATATTTCCGAACCGATACGGCCTTCAAACCTTGAAGCAACACTCGTACTCGGCGTACGTAGGTACTCCTTCTTAAGCGGCCGGTAATGCCGTGACTCTTCTGGCGTTACGGGGTGTTTTTGGCTCTGATGACTAATCTGCCGGTTTGCCTTCTAATAAAAACTACTTACCTCTGCATGTTCCAACGGACATGTCAGACCAATCGAAACCTTGCGTTTCCGTGAATGGAGGTGCCAACTTGAGCTCCTGTCCCAAACAGGTACTCGCAAATATAATAATTATGTAGATGTTCACTGTCACGTCGATGTAGAACCCAGGTAGGATATATTTTCCCTATTTTGATTGCCAGTTTAACTGATGCCTGTCTTAGCCCTCAATTTATACCATAGAAATATCATGTAGGTTGGTAAATACCAAGAAATTCAAATAAAAAACTCGGACTGAAATACGATACACGTCATCACGTCATAGTCATAGAATAAGAAAAGTCATCGTTCTGTAGTCGGTTCCTAATAGTCCAATAAAGCAATCAGGGAACGATGACAGAGCGGGAACATTCATCTAATGTCAATGTTAGGTACAGGTTTTAAAGATGGCGGTAATAAAGTCTAGACTAGACCCATCGCCCACGGGGCCCGTAAGATCGTAATGGCGCACTTCCCTTGCCGGAAATGCGTCATACAGTTGGGTCTCGCGTTAGTTTTCTTTTTATCCGTCCTATAATATCATCTGTTATTGTTAATTGTAGGTTTAATTAATATTTGAAGCCATTTGTAATTAATTGGATTAGTTTGATAATATAGCCCATACAAAAATATAAATAAAATTAAACATTATATTATAAATGTTTAATTTTATTTATAACACTGTTCGCTCGTACCTATGTGTGTCATCTACGTTGGCAGAAATTTGACTAAATAAATATACTTACCTCTTTTACGAGGCTTTGCTTAAGTAGGTACTTACCTACCTAAATAGTCAATCATTCAAGACTAGATTGAAATTTAGAATATTATTTCATTGTAAACCAAAACTTTATAGGGCTGATTTTTGAATAGTCTGATAAAAGTTATCTGCGGAATAATTATGGTGCTGTCGCGTCAAAATGTTTGTAATAAGTAAGACTAACAGTAACAATTTTATTCCTCAGATAACATTTATCTGACTGTTGAAAAATCAGCTCTTAATACAGCCCTACCTAATAGTGACGTAATTCCTAAACCAAATCACACGCACATCTATCGTTATTATTTGCAGTGTATTTTGGATTTTATTATTGGAACATAATCATAGTACTATTTGATTTATTTTACAAGGATAATTATTTTATTAAGTATCATAAGTTAATCTTAAGTAAGTAGGTAGTAATCTGCTGTACTTATGTAGATATTATTAGAGTTTTTGAAAACCGTTCAATTGTTATCGCAGTTTATTTTCCAAATCGGCCACTCCCATTTGGAATCTCTGTGTATTTCCATTTTAATTTTAGAGTCGTATTTTGATAAAAGTGTAGGTATGTAGGTATTCAGCGGATACTGTAGGTAAATGACTAAACGGTAGAAAGAAAAGCCTCCTCGCGAGCGCAAGATTTTGACAGAAAAGATTTGCAAGTTAAGGTAAATTTTGAGTTTTTGTGATGAATAAATTCCAATAAAACCTGGCAGCTTTTCATTCTTTCACCATTGGAAAGCAACGTTAATCCTGAGTAACTTGAGCTATTATTTTAAAAAGAAATCTTGTCTTCACCCGTACGAAGCCGGTTCGGACCAATAGTTGTTAATCATAATCAGCCTATAAATGCCCTCTGCTAAGCAAAGGCCTCTTCTCATACGGAGAAGGTTAGAGCATTAATCACGCTTGCTCAAACTTATAACTTATAAGTCCAGGTTTCCTCATGATGTTTACCTTCACCGTATGTCAGTGGTGGTCAGTGGTATCTAGATAATCATAGGCATAGAAAGTACATATAACTCGGAAAAAGTCACATTGGTACTTGCCAGGTTTCGAACCAAGACCCTCATGCACGAGAAGCGGGCTGCTTAACCTCCGGGCCACCACGACATCTAGCTAGCATCTCGGCTAGTTCTTAATAATTGCAGTAAGTACCTAATATTTGGTTAATATCTCCTCATAAAAAATTTCGTGCTATTTGTATGACTACTTAGGTATTTTTGCCTTGCTCTTTAGAACACAAAAGACTTGATATATGGCCATAAGACTATTAAAGTTCTATTTCAAGTAGAAAATGGGCTCACAGTCTTACCGGCGCCGCTTTTCCTTACCGCCAGTATTTAAAACCATTTTCTCGGATAATAAGCGAGGAACTTCCTTGTACCTAACTATCGCTACGCTAAAGTTCGTAAAGAAATGTGCAGTAAAGAAATCAGATCGTAAATAGCCTAAAATTAATCGGGATCGCGATCGGTATGTCGGAGTCATATTTTAATTTAGTCCTCTGAATAACTGAACAGTCGACAAAAAGTTTTTATTTAAGTAGAACTCAGTTGACCTCCCCTTCTTTGTGACACATGATTCATGGCACGCGGTGGAGTGAGGGAGTGGAATATTTTTTTAATTTTTCATCTTTTGACTCGCATGTTTAATATTAATTACAATGTCTTTGTTGCTAGTTTATTCTTGTGCATATTTTCTTCTTAAAGCCAGGATGTTACTGGGTCGATTAGTACCTATTATGAGAGATTCTAAAATAGGCAGTCAAATAAAAGAAGGTAGGTAGGTATGTAGAAAACAAGAATTGATAGCTAGGTACAAAAAGTCGTATAAGTAAAAACAATCACATAAACAGTGGAATGTTAATTATAAAAGTAACAATAAGGATATTGTTTGTTATACGGACGTCCTTTATCTTGCTTGGGTTAATCAAGCCTGGTTACGGACAATTATTTACATAAGATCAATGATGTCATCAATTTAGACATATTTCCTTCATTATTTTGTTTTTAAAGCGATAGCTTGAATGCTGTGAATCATCGCAATACGTACAGAGTATTATTATTGTAACCGTGGCACCGCACCGCGAGAGTGCCATCGCCACTCCGGCCACACCACACCACCCCCGGCTCGCACGCCCGCACACAACTTCTGTTTGCTCGCCTCAGTCGCATTTTGACGTCGCTACACAGTGCACGGACCGTCGCCTTTCTTTCTCCACATTAATAAAACACTTGGTAAGTTACACTTTTATTTTAACCGGTTCTTTACCAAATCGTTATAAAATTTCATTCTTTTTATATATCAATAAAATAAATATGAGCAACGATTCAACTTTACGTAGTTTTACATGATTATCGAACGGTTTTGCGGAGTCCCTCCCTCGGGAACCGGCGATCGGATGTATAGTAGAGGTGGCGTAGCGGCATCGCGTACTCATTGATCAGGAATTCCTTTTGAACATTTTGTGCCATTACGTCTGATGAATCAAATTGGTAATAAAATTATGCTTTCTGATTATCGAAATCTTTGTTTGAATTGGAATGGGAGCGGTTATGACTTCATTCTTTTTATCGTGCGGTGCTAGTCTGTTTATAAAGCAAACGTCGCGCATTTTTTATTGTTCGATTACAGTTTTTACACGAATCAGAATGCGAGTAATTATGTCTATAACACGCTCCTATTTGTATTCGATTATTGTTTTGCCGGTGTATATGGTGATAAAATATTAATGTATTGGTTTTCCTTCCTACCTACACTGTTTAAATAACAAAGCTGTCATAACTACACAGATTTGCCTTTATGTTTTCGAAAACGCTTGGTACTTACTTAGTATGGTATGTTTTAAAACCATAATAATAGATTGTAAATTGATTGAAAGTTTCTAATTTTGGTTTATAAAAGCCAGCCTAACGACACAGTTTTTGGAAAATAATGTTGACAAATGAGGGGAGTGATGTCGGACTCGTTAAAATTACAAAGATACTCTATCAGAGGGTTGTACGTAAATATGAGGGCGTTACAACAAAGACTCCTTTAGAGGTTCGATAAAATCGTAAAATTGGTTTGTTGACTAAACAACCTACTTTTCTACCGGGAAGTTAATCGCAATGAAGTTTTAGTGAACATTTTTTGAAACAGAAAAAACAAGAGAAACGGCTGAAATAACCGTTCGGTTATGGTTCGTTGAGCGTCATGTGATATTATGTTAATAAATACAATTAACCCGTCTCGCTAACTAAATCGTGTGTTGTGTCGTTCAACTTGAAACCCAAAATGTAGACGCGAGTTCACATGTGAAGAGATGGTCATCACTCATAAAGGAATCATGTTTTTTTTTGTGGAAAGCGAACCTATCCTCTTGATATTTATAATCTACGATTGTCACGGTAACTGTCTTCAAAACTGAAGGCTCACAGTTTATGGAGGCCCTTAGGCTTAACAGAAGCCATTGATTAATGTTAATGAACTCAAGTTTTGTATCAGCCGGCCGCTAAATATAGAAATCTGACTAATGCACAACACATGCTTGACACAACCAATAACCGACCGTTGATGTTTTGAATAATAAATCGTTTACTGATATTAAATTCTGAAGCTTCAACTTTGTTCATAATGTTGTTCTGTTCTTTGTATTCGGGGTTATAAGTTAACAAGAATCACCCTCCATTTTTTTCTAGCTGTCAAACTTTTTTTTTTAACACAGAATTGTTTAGGTACGAAGCCTATAGGACTATCTAACTATCGAATTTGTAATATTGTACGGTAGTCATAAACCACGGTTGATAATTATTATAAAAAGAGTTAACCGGTTCGTGTGAACGCTGGGACTTTCGCCGCTTTCACGCATCATAGAGTATTGAACGGCAATCATTGACGAAATCTATAATTAGTACACACGCCAGTTCGTACATGTTATTGTTTATGTCATCACACCTACTAAAATAGGAAGTAACACCTAGCTAGAATACTATCAGTGGAACCTGTTTCTGTTTGACAGGAGTAACTCTTAAAGCAGCAGGTAGACATGATATATGTGTTAATTTCTGTTAATAATAAAACAACAATATAATTTTTTCCTGTTAGAGCTTCAATTCTAATTAAAACGTTTGTCAACCGTTAAATGTGAATCATTGGTTGATTCAATTCTTTAAATTCTGCTCGAAACATTTCCTTGTCTGAGTATTGTATGTATGTATAACTCAGCTCAATACTCCCTATGTATGTACATAGTACATGTACATGGATGCAAGTGCGTTTGTTCGGAATGAAATCTGTCCAGACAGGACACTGCCTCATGTGCGAAAGAGAGGGGAATGTGCAGACCTGTGCGCTAGAAAGAGAAGAAATAACTTCCCGAATACGCGAATCGATTGCCCGGAGACCAAACGACGCGTCGCACCCCTAATGTCTAACTGTTAGTTAGGGTTGTCTGCAAGGGGTTTAATCGAGTTAGTACTCAATTCTGTTGGGAAGAAGATGGGATAAACACTTGTGCAAATTGTTATGGCTTTTGTTGTCAGCCTTATCGTGTTAATGTATTAATAAAGTGAAGTTGTAAATGGTACGATGTAACCTTTGTTTGGGTTTAGTCAAATTGAGGTAACTATTCGAAAATCAAATTGGTTTCGATACTACGTTTCTTTTTTACTACGAGGATTTTAAAGTCTTTCTAAAAATATTAAGTTTATTTCTGATGAAATATTTATTAGGGTCCAAAACAGCTCGTAGGAAACCTAAACCGGAAACGACTTTCCCACCAGCCAAAATTTTGCGAGGGTGGCAACCATTCTGTCCCCCGGTGGCGCATATATTACGAAGCCCTAGGTACCCTATGTTGGTTTATAGATCAATAAACGGCGAGGGGAACCTCATCGGGACGTGCTTTAACTGCCCACCCCTAAAAATACGCAATTTTATCCGACGAAAGAGGTCTGAAACCTAAGTACATTTTCTGTTTATTATACCCCAAATTGAACAATAAAATTGCAAAACTGATAGCTTAGTTTTTTTGTTAGATAATTAATTAAGTTTAGCGAAAGGTGATTCGGAATTAATCTGGTGCACACCGAAAGATTAAGATCAAGTAAAAAATTTAGCGCACAGACATTACGGCGTGGCTTGGCTTCTTCTTCCTCACCCATCCGTGAGATGCCTACACTTGAAAATCTCTTAATTGCCAATGCTGGACTACTAGCTTGACGCTCCATAAAATTTGAGACGTATCTCTGATATACTTGTCTGCGCTCTAGCTTAGACGAGGTCAATGACACCGAAGCGGTAATTCACACCTTATTTGAATTTTAGACCATTTTATTACTAATTAGTCAACTTAATTGCGATGACTTTGAAAATTTATTTCAGTCGAATTTATTATCTATGCATCAGCTTACTTTAGATAAATCTAGAGCATTATATTACATTAAGGTAATTTATACAAATAAATATGCGCGTTTGCTGAATTCGTTTTGTCTGGTACCTAAACAAAAAACGTTATTTTTTTGCAAAGTTTTATATCTGCGTTGGCTTTATAAAAACATTAGCTTGATTTAGTATTCAAGTCTAACTGCACTTATATTTGGCATAGACAAATATATGCGGTATACGGTGCCCTTGGCATATTAAGTCGAGGGGACGCCAGCGTACGCCCTTGCCCTACGCCGCCGGGGTGACAAACTGCACCATAAATATCCAGGCTGCTATTATAAAGACAGTTTACACACCAAAAAAGTATTAGTAATCCTTTAATGTTCTGCAGACATCTTAATGGCCTATGAAAATAATCATAATTTAATATTTTGGTTATTTACGTTGACATTTTTATGAATGTTAGATACTTTCACTTACTTATAGGTAAATTACATTTAAGTAGGCACCAAAATAATTATATTTATTCTCAAGCTTCTATTCCTATTTCTTAACAAGTTATATAAATATAAGAACGATTGCAATTATCCGAGGGAGTAGGTATCTGACACTTTATAAAATTCTCAATAGATCCCCATTTAAAATCTTTGCCATTCAATCAATTTATGCCAATTAATCTTATCTTTTGAAATATACGAACACTTAATTGGATTTTCAAGCTTTTCTAATAACGACTACGACGAAAGTTGCCTACCACAACGGAGGGAGTAATTGACATGAAGAGAGCTTTGCAGTTTTAATTAATGGCTTCGTCAAAGAAAATGGAAAGCCGAGGTTCTGTTGGATACTTAACGTTTACAAGTGCAGTGAAACGGTAGAATTTATGTCGAGTCGACAGAGTAGAGATCGACTGACAGATGACATTTCAATTTCAAAATGGCGTCTCGTTAATCAGCAAAAATTGATTTCAAAAACTTCTGTAAGCAAAGCACTGTACAGTGCTCGATAACATTTTCAACTCCAGTTTATTTATTTGTCAAGCGGTTTTTTAGAGTAGAGAGAGTGTCCTTGAAAATATTATCTTATAGAAACCATCTGCACGCCACATCTTTTGTTTACGACGTGAAGAAAGCTAAAATAGATCTATCTTATTATACCTACATAAAGATCATAATAAAACGTTCCATCAGCTATCGTATAAAGAACAACTTTCTCGGCACACATTCTTGTCAAAGGTGACCTTTTATGAAAATAATCCTTGGAGCAAACATTTGTGACAAAGGCTAAATATATCGAACAGTATTCAGGCGCTGTGCCGTTGTACGTAGGATGGTAATTTAGTAACATTCATGGCCTAAGAAACCTGCGTAACTTGTAGGCTCGTAGTACTATAGGACTGGTTCCACTATAATCTGTTAGTAACGTGGAATACCTTGGCATACACGCGTACAATGAAAGTAGCGACTGTAAAGATCCAGTGTGACGGTGACTCACGACTCGTCCAACAATGCCGGCCGGACAATGCTGTGTATCGATTGTTTCATTCTACTACGGCGAGGAAATGTTCGTAATTCAATTACATAATCGGAGAACTTAGCTCAAGATTCCCGTAACACTATGCCATAGATTTTAACAAGAAAGTATTTAAGTTTTGAGACAATCTGTGATCAGACCAAAGACAAAGATCCAATTCCAATTTTAAATTTTTCTTCATTTTTACTTATTCAAAAATTTTGGGCAAATTAACAGAAACACAAGTAAAATAGATATTTAAAATTTTTACTAAGAACACATGGTCAATTTAGATAAAGTAACCAACACCGTAGTCTAGTCTAACATTAGTTAAACATCATGATTCGATAAAATCTAG